GCTCACAGCAACCTCCAACTCCTAGGCTCAAGCAAGTCTCCTGCCTCAGCCTCCCAAGTAGCTAGGACCACAGGCGCCTGCCACAACGCCCGGCTATTTTTTGGTTGCAGACATCATTGTTGTTTTGGCGGGCCCGGGCTGGATTCGAACCCGCCACCTTAGGTGTATATGGCTGGCACCTTAGCCACTTGAGCCACAGGTGCCGAGCCCCTGGTGCCTTTTTTTTATATTACTGCTTTTGAAGTCTGCTGGGTGGTTTTGGAGTTCCCTCGATGTGGTTTCACTGACCTTGGAGGTCCATGTATTTATCAGGCTAGTCTTTCTCAGGGACTCATACTGCAGGCACCCCTGCAAGGGACATTGGTGGGATTCCTGGGCTGAGGTCACCTTCCCTATGGGGTTGGCCATGTGTCTGTTCTCCCCTGCTGTCTTTCCCCCGGGCATAGACTCCTGCTCAAGGGTCTGGTGAGCCCCTTGGGTTAAAAGGGGCATTCCCATGGGAAGTGGAGCCAATGGGGATGGGGCAGGGAGGGTAGGCCCTGGTTAGCATGCTTCCCCTGTCCCTGGGTCCCTGTGATCAGGGTTTTGGCTGACTGTGCTCTGTCTGTGAGAAGTGGGTGGGTGCCAGGGGATCCTTTCAAGGTAGAGTGAGTCTCCTCAGATGCATCCATCCTCTGGGAGCCTTGCCCAGCTCCCTTCTCAGGCTCACTGACTTGCTGAGGCAGCTTCCTGCTATATCTGGAGGAGGAATCTTTTTTAGGCCACGTGGGGAGCCACCACTGCGGAGGGCAGGGCTGCTACACTCCTCCCGGTTCCTGGGCCTCCAGCCCAGGGAATCCCCAAGGATTCAGTACTTGCCTTGAAGTTGGGGACTTTGTGGGGACAGAAGTACTAGGAGAACCACAGGGGCTCTGGATGCTCAACTGGTCACTTTAGCTCAGGCCTATGCTTGGAGTGTGCTCTGGGCACAGCAGCTTCGTTACATGGTCAGGGCAGCGTTGAGGCTGGGCCCAAGACGTACTCGCAGGTGCAGACTCCCTGATGGCCTCCAGGGACCCCTCATACATCCTGAGGGTGCTGGGGTAACCCCCACTGGCAGAACTTCTAGTGGCTCACCAGGTTTGAGGAGCCAGAGATTTGGCTCCACCTTCAGGGAGCATTGTGTGATTCCTAACCCCTAGACTGCCTGCTCCCTGCAACCTCCATAGGTTGGGGCCCCTCCAAAATTCCTGGGTCTTTTGCCTTTGTGACTCAACTTATCAGTGCACCTCATGGGTTTGGTGCAGCCTAGCACAGGGCAGGTACCTGTGTCCTGGCTGGGCAGCCCCTCCCCTGGGCCCCCATCCCACTAGCAGCACTGTTGCTGGGCCTCCGGGAGATGCCCAGGCTCCTGTACAAACTGGCAGGGTAGGGGCTGCATAGCTCTACCTGCTCACTTGATCTCCATCTGCTCACCTGGATGTGCCGGCCCATAGAGGTGCTTGCATTTCTCCAGGCTGGTTTTATCCCAAGGTAGTGCTGCAGAGGTAGGATGCCCCATGTGTCCTGCAGTAGAGGGACGGTCCCCATCACCAGGTCCTCTGACCTGGATTCCCAGCCCCAGGTGGAAGGGGGTTGCTCACACACAGGGGCATGGTAGAATGCCCCTTGCCAGGCCTCTGAGATTGGTGAGAGGCCACAGTGAGAGGTGCTGGTGCCACATACCCAAGGCCTGGCAGGTGGCTCTAGAAAGACTTCAGATGAAAGTAAGGAGAGAAAACAGCTGGCCCTGTGACATGGCCTCATGTTTCATTTTTATCTTTGGCAGATGTGGCCGAGAAGGACCCGGATGAGGACTGCAGGATGCTGGCAGTGAAGGCTCTGCTGCTTCTGGAGAAACTCAAGGACAAACTCCTCACAAGTTCTCCTTAGTTCCCTGTGGTGCTTCCCCACCGTAGCAGGCCCCACCCACCCATGGCTGTCCCGCTGGAAGAAAGGAAGTCCAGAGGGCTGGGCAGAAGGCCATTGGAGTGGTGCGAAGGAGCGCCCAGGCAACATCTGGGTTTTGTGGCGCAGCCAGGTCTGGAGCAGCATCCGGTACTGAGTGTGCAGTTGCAGGAAGGCCCACTGCCCCCAGAGTTATTTATAGCCCAGCAAGTTTTAGTGTTCAGCTAATAATAAATGAGGGCCTGGGCACTATACTCCCACATGACACAGCAACCTGAATGCTGGGCCTGGGGGTGCTGGAAAAGTTGACTCCTAAAGTGAGGGCAGAATGGGAGTTGCTGCTCAGAGCCCCAGTATTCCTGGCAAGAGCCACCAGGAAGAGCAGAGCCTATGGACTTCTCATGTGTCATCAGAAGAATAAAAATGCTGCAGGTGCCCAAGAACAGCCTGCCTTGTGGTTCTGACTGCTCAGGCAGGAACTTTAGTTCGTAGAGGCATTCATGCGCAGAAGGAAGGGCATGGGACTGAGAAAATAAATTTTATTGGAATCAGAGGAGGACCCAGGTGGTCCTGGCTGTGGTGGACCCTGCTTTGGGCAGTGTCAGGTAACCACTGAATGGGCTTAGAGAAGAGCATAGTGAACAGTGTAATAGGTGCCTCAGTTCCCCAGATGCAGCCTCAGTTCATGAAGTTCTTTAAGTTTCTTAGACTTTACAGTATGTATTTGGGAGAATAATGTGGGAAAGATGAATCTAACTGCCTTTAAGGGAACTAATCCAAAAATCCACATGAGTTGCTGAGCACATAGAGGCAGGAATGATTGAGATGGTTTAAAAATACAAACACGTTTCCTCATCTCTAGACATGGGAAGCATGCAGAGCATAAGGACTGTGGTGGGACAGAGCACACTCCTTCTTAGGCCCTGGCGACTGGGCCCATGTCTTCCTACAGCTCTGCTCTTTCAATGCTCAAGGGGTTTTTTTTGAACAGAACTACTGCCTTTGCTGCTACTGGTGACTAGAAGATTCCAGAAGATACTTCAGCAGCAGGACATTGGCCAGGGGCCTAGGCCCCTCAGGGATCATTTTCTACCTCTTCTACCACCTCCTCGTCCACCTCTCTGTGGTCCTCCATGCTGTTGTGGCGGGTCCGCTCAGGCAAGGCACGAGTCAGAGGGAGGCCGAGACCCTGGAGCACAAGGTCTGCAGTGTGCTGGCTTACGTAATAGGACATGCTGGCGGAGGGGATCCTCTTGCGCATTTCCTCCAGGTACTTGTAGGCCTAGGGCAGAAGTAACAGCCAGTATGTGTTTAGTCTGCAGCAAGGACTGAGGGAACCACCCCACTTAACTCACTAGAAGGAAGTTTTAAAATACCCACAAGGCACCAAGCTTGCTACCTCGGTCAGCAGAGAGCCACACTGCTTCCAGAGAATACTCAGGTCCCCTGTTGGAGGCTCCCCTGCACTTACAAGAGATCATAGCGTCCAAAGGTAGCATGTTTCAGACTATAAGCTGCCATCAGTATTTTTGATTTTTTTCAAGGCTTCAATAAGCTATGACCATACATGTACCACCACAGTCTAGGCTGGGTGACATAGTGGGGCTCTGTCTTTTAAAAAATACGCTTGGCTGGGCACCTGTTGCTCAGTTAGGGTGCCAGCCACATACACCAGGGCCGGTGGGTTTGAACCCCACCGGGGCCTGCTAAACAATGACAGCTGCAACCAATAAAAGAAAAAAAAATAGCCAGGTGTTGTGGAGGGCACCTGTAGTCCTAGCTACTTGGGAGGCTGAGGCAGGAGAATCACTTGACGCCAAGAATTTGAGGTTGCTGTGAGCTTTGACGCCATGGCACTATACCGAGGGCAACATAGTGAGACTGTCTCAAAAAGAAAAAACATGCATTCTGGATGGCTCATTGCCATGCTCAGGGGTGAGGGGGAGAGAGTTGAGGGCAGGAGACATAGGCAAGCCCTCCACAAGCTCAAAGGAGAAAAAGTGTGAGAGCAAGAATTTACATATGAAAAAGTACATCCTTAGGTGTTTATACACTCCCTACCTTGCCCTAGTCACCTTGCTGGACAGTGATAACAAGCTCCGGATTGGGTGAGAGGCCTTGGCAACAGTCAGGAGAGGGAGGAGAGAGAAGCTGATCATTGGGAGATGGTCAGAGGGGCCTGTGCACACATGAATGCATCCATGGCCCAGGACTCTTAACTTCTGTATGCAGAGCTGGCTTCATGAAAGGCAAGGAAGCATCTCCAGAAGGAGGACAATCACTAAAATGGGGTAGGAGCAGGGGTGCAGGATGATAGGTAGCATGCTATTGCATGTCCTGACTAAGGGAGATATTTGACACCCAAGATTAGGAGTTTGTAAGGATTTAGCTCTGATGATAGGCTAAGAGCTAAGCAGACGGTGCAAGGGCAAGCCATAGGCAAGGAGCTTGAAAGTTAGATGAAGGAGACAGAGCAGCAAGGTGTCCTTTCCCCCACCTCGCCAAATGGAGACTTGTGCATGACTACACTTTTTCTGTTTACTTACAGTTTGGGATTTTTTTCTCCTTAAAGTCCCATAAGCTTCAAGAAGCATAGAGACTTATAAAGACTGGTTCCACAGACCCTTTGCCCATAAAAGATAAAGTTGGTGAAATATTTAAAATATGACTTTTCTGTTAATACTGAAGATACAGCTATGTAAGCATCTCTGTATTCCAATTTTGTTTTCATACACCAAATTGTAGTTCTCCAAAGCCTGCATTGGTAGGTGACTAAAGTTCTAGCTACTGGGTAGGCTGAAGCAGGAGGATCACTTAAGCCCAGGAGCTAGAGGCTGCGGTGAGCTATGACTGTGCCTGTGAGTAGCTACTTCACTCTAGCCTTGGCAACTCAGCAAGGCTTGTCTCTGAACAAAACAAAAACAAAAATAAACTTGATGGGAGGCTAGGTATGATGGCTCACACCTGTAATCCTAGCCGTCTGGGAAGCTGAGGTGGGTAAGTTGCTTGAGCTCAGGAGTTTGAGACCAGCTGAGCAAGAGTAAAACCCCATTTCTACTAAAAAAAACTAGCCAGATGTTGTGGCAGGTGCCTGTAGTCCCAGCTACTGGGGAGGCTGAGGCAAGAAGATCCCTTGAGCTTAGGAGTCTGAGGTTGCTGTGAGCTAGGCTGAGCCATGGCACTCTACCCCAGAGCAACAGAGCGAGACTCAAGACAAAACAAAACCAAAACAAAAAACCAAATGACCTCCCCAAACTTGTAGTTAGACTGAGTTTTTTGCAGCAACAAAGGATGTCAGTGAGTGGAAATGGTATGGTACAGGGAAGTCTTGAGTCTCATAGAGCTTACTCTCAGATTTGGGGAAATGCTACTTGTTGAATAATTCTGCTATGAATTGTGGAGACTGCAGCCTAGTGAGGCTGACACTGTCAGCACATTTCTAAAATTAATTTTGCGATATGTGGTTTGTGGGCACATGAGAGGAAACATCCCCTAGGCACTATATTTTATCAGTTCTATCTGCCAGGGGACACAGGTGGCAGATGGAGTTGGCTCTGCAGCATGGCATGCAGAGTACAAGGACTACAGCAAGTCTACTAAAGCATCTGTCTTTGGAGACATGAATGCAAAATGCAGGTAGTAGAATTCTTTTTTACCTCCTATAGAATTATGACTGGAAAAGAATGAGGAGAGAGGCTTCTGATAATGGCAACATAAATCATATTAGGTCAATTCCCTGACAATGGATAACTCTGGGCAAACATAAAGGCATGGGAGAATAGCTGCAAGTGGCAGAAGCTGGAAAAGGGGTAGCACTCGGTGAGTTTCCTGCTTATTATGTTATAACTTCTTGCCGCAGGGCTGGCCCCAGTCAGGGCCACTGTGAGCATCAAAAGGGCACAAAGAAGCTTGCATTTATACTTAAAGAATCAAAAGTGTTTGTTGGCTACAGAAGTTGGAATGTGAGGGCAGAAATACTAGAATAGAGCAAGTCAGACAGGGAGCCCAAATTCTACGTACAAATTCTGCTCTATTCAATGGTGGAGCTGCATGTGGTGGTGGTAAGGACAGACTCTGAGAAGCCCAACTAAAGCTCCAACTATTAAAGATTTCAGCTGATATCCACCACAGGAAACAGAAGAGTATAGACTTTTAGTTGAACAAAGGTGACTGCCTAATAAAATACATTTAGAAAAAAATCAATACTTTTGAAGGAATATACCAGAATCCAGAGTCTCTACATTGGAGTATCCACAATACAGAAAAATTATTAGACATTGGAAGAACTAGGAAAATATGAAAAACATGACCCACCCTCAAGAGAAAAGGCAAATAACAGAGAACAGTCCTACATGACCCAGATAATGGAATTAGGAACAAAGATTTTTAAATCAGCAAATACAACTGTGCTCAAGGATATAAAGGAAAATATATTCTTTATTATTATTATTATTATTTTGCAGGTTTTGGCTAGGGCTGGGTTTGGACCCGCCACCTCTGGCATATGGGGCTGGTGCCCTACTCCTTTGAGCCACAGGCACTGCCCAGAAAATACATTCTTAACAAATGAACATATAGGAAATTTTAGTAAAGAAATTCTAGAACTGAAAAAATACAAAACCTGAAATGAGAAATTTACTAGAAAGGTTAAAAGCAGATTGAAAATAGGTAAACAAGGGTACATGGTGAAATTTACTAAATGTCGAATATAAATGTCTTAACACAGTAACTAAGAAAATGCTGTGAAGGCTATATTAACCAGTTTGATGAAAATATTTCAAAAATTGTCTATAAAACCAGCACATTGTACCCCCTACCAAAAGAGGTAAAGAAAATTAATGGATTTGAAGATAGATCAATATAAATTGTCTAATCCAAAGGAAAGAAAGAAAAGGAAATAATGAACAAATGTATGTATAATTGTAACCACAGATGTATGTATAATTAATATGAAAGGCTTTATAGTTAACTGGAGTCTCAGAAAAAAAGGAGAAAGAGAATAAGGCAGAAAAAAAATTGAAGAAAAAAGTAATTTTGTATTTCACAAATTTGGTGGAAGACATAAATTTATAGTTCCAAGAAGCTCAGGATAAAATGAAAACACCTAGAGACATTGTCTGTTAAAAGCCAAATATAAAGAGAAAAATCATGAAATAGCCAGGAAGTGGTGGTGGTGGTGGTGGGGACGACAGATCACATATAAAGGCACAATAATATAGCTAAGGGCTGACTTCTTATCAGAAGGAGGCCAGAACATAGGGGAAAGACATTCAAGTGTAGAAAGGGAAAACCTGTCAAGTCTGAATTCTTTATGTGATGAGAATAATCATAAAGAATAAAGACAAAATAAGGACATTTAGATTAATGAAAAGTAAAAAAATTCATCTTTAACTGTAGTCCCAGCTACTTGGGAGGCTGAAGAAAAAGAATTGCTTAAGCCTAAGAGTTTGCGATTGCTGTGAGCTGTGAAGCCACTGCACTCTACCGAGGGCAAAACAGTAAGACTCTGTTTCAAAAAGAAAGAAAAGAAAAAAAAATAAAGAAAATTCACCTTTAGAAGATCTTTACTTCAAAAGAACATGAAAGGGAGTTAGTTCTTCAGGCTGAAGATGAATGATAACCACATGAAAATTTGAATCACTGGTAAAAAGTAAAGAATATCAGAAATTATAAATATGTAAGTAAATATAAAAGACTACTTCTTTCAATTTTTAAAAAATATATTGAATTGCTTTAAGTAAAAATTATAACACTATTGTGTTTATAAATGTATGTTGATATAATATATATATATATATATATATGATAAGGTAGGGTTGTGAATGGGTAAATGGATCGATATGTTTATTTGTACAGTTCATGAAGTAGTATGACAATAACTCTGAGAGGACAGTAATTACAAGAAAATTTTTATAGCAATCCCTAGAGTGAATGCTGAAAATAAAAACAGAGGGAGAGAGAGAAATCTGAGGCCAATGAAATAACTCACACCTGTAATCTTAACACTTTGGGAGGCCAAGGTGGGAGGATCACTTGAGGCCAGGAGTTTGAGAATAGCCTAAGCAACACAGCAAGAACCTATTTCTAAAAAAAATTAGAAAAATCATCTGGGCATAGTGGTGTGTGCCTATAATGGCAGGCTGCTTGGTAGGCTGAGGCAGGAGGATCGCTTCAGCCCAGCCTAGGAGTTTGAGGCTGCAGTGAGCTACGATGATGCCACTGGATCTAGTCAAGGTGAGAGCATGAGAGACCCTGTCTCAAAAGAAAAAAACAGAACAACAAGATAAAAAGCTAACAGGAGGCTCAGTACCTGTAGCTCAGCAGCTAGGGCGCCAGCCATATGCACTGGGGTCGGCAGGTTTGAACCCAGCCCGGGCCTACCAATGACAAATGCAACAGAAAAGTAGCCAGGCATTGTGACAGGCACCTATAGTCCCAGCTACTTGGGAGGCTAAGGCTAGAGAATTGCTTGAGCCTAAGAGTTTGAGGTTGCTGTGAGCTGTGATGCCACAGCACTCTACTGAGGATGACATAGTAAGACTGTCTCAAAAAAAAAATAATAAAAAAATAAAAGGAAAGAAAATGAAATTCTAAAAAATATTCAGTTAATTTAAAAGAAGGCAGGAAAGAAAGTTCAAAGGAACAACAAAACTGATAGGACAAATCAAAAACAAAAATGGTAGACTGAAATCAAGCCATATTAATAATTACATTAAATGGAAGTGGCTAAAACATTGCAATTAAAAGGCAAGATTATCAGAATTTTATAAAGACCCACCTAGATGCTGTCTACCAGCAATGTACTTTAAAAACCACGACACAGATAAATAGAAGGTAAAAGGAAGGAAAAGATATCCATACAATGCTAAGCATAAGACAGAGGACTATAGAAGTGTGAAGTTAGGTATACTTCAAATGAGATAAAGGAAGACATTTCATAAAGATCAATTCAGCTGCCCCACCTTATTGCCTTGAGAGTTTTTCGGCCATAACACAGAAAGAGGGTAACTACACAGCTGGAAGTCTCTCTATGCTGAGGAGATAGTTCTGCATTTGGGCAGGCCAAGGCAGCCAGAATCATGGAATAGGTACTGAATAGGAGAGAGCAAAGAGACAGACAGCACTTGGAGACCTTCAAAGGGTTCTTAGTCTTCAGCTGAGTACTGAATAGTCCACATGTATAAAGAAAAAAACAGAGGTCAGGGAAATGATCAGGTGGAACAACCCCAGAGATTTATCATTCATTCTTCTCCCTACCAGAGTAGAAAGACCTCCCCATATAGGAGGCATTGAGAGTTTCAGAAGCCTTATGTGGCAAGACAGCAGGATTCTCCCAGTGAGCAGTGTGCAGGCCTTACCGTCTGGTGCTCCTCCATCTGCAGGTAGTGTTCCACCAGGAAGCTGTAGACGTCCCCCACACGGATAGTGCTGTCCAGGTCTGGCTCCTCGAGGAGCAGTTCACATTGCTTGATGGATTCCTTGGGGTCCTCCGTGTACGTCCTGAAGAAAGCAAAAAGGAGGCCTAAGCCCCAACTCCTAAACATGTCCTTGTCAGAAGTCAAAGCAGACTTGTCCTAAGGGAGGAGCTCTGGGGAATGGTGGGATGAAGTTTTTTATGAAGTTAATTCTCACACTGTTAGTTAATCCCTTAACTTGTTCATTCATTCATTCATTTAGCAAACTCTCCTCGATCACTTGCAGTGCTGGATCCTGTGCTTGGACACCAAGATCAAAGACTTCTAACCATGCTTCCTGCCCAAGGGACAGTCTAGAGGGGACAGAAACCTCTAGGTTAAGTGTGATCCAGAGGGGATATAAGGGTATGTAGATGGGAATGCACAGAGAGTGACACACCACCTCGACCAAGGCAGTTAAGAGGAGCCTTCCAAGCAGAGGAGTTGGCTTGAACATAGGACAACACGTGGGACCTGGCATGGGTATGTGTAGCAGAGCACGGTGTGCCACCTGAGCTACACAAGACCAGCAGTGTAAGCTTGCCATGAGCCAGCTGAGACATGACTTGGTCCAGGGAAGGTGACTGAAGCTGCAAAGTGCTCAGGTTCCCACTTCTGGAGGGTCCAGGGCCCATTTGGACATGCACTGGCTCTGCCACTGCAGGCAGGTGCCTGGCCCATCCTGACTCCTGGGGGGCTGCCACCCCCGTCCTTCATGTATTCTCTGCCCTCCATCTATACAACCTGTCCTCTTGCTAGTGGCCACCTCCTGCCCATTCTCCTTCCTTCTGCCTCCCACAGCCCACCCTCAGCAGACACCTATTAAGCACAGATATTCCAGAATCTATACACCCTAGTAGATAATGCTCTTCCAGTGAAATCCACTTTGTACAGCATTTTTCAACCCTGCTTTAGGAAGTCTTCTTTTGAAACAGTTCTCAGATGAGAGACATACTCTTTTTTTTTTTTT